GGCCCTTCCTGGGCGACGCCAGAGGGACGAGACCCTCCGAGCAGCTCAAGTTTCATGGTCGCTACGTAGGGCCCAGCTGGCCGGGCTTTCGCTCTCCTCCTTTGTTGGAGGAACGGGGCGGGCGGTGGGTGGGTGGAGGGGGGAGGAGAGGCAAATCTGCCCCGGGCCCGCACACGCGCAGGCGGGACGGGAATGTCGCCGCCAGGCTGTTCTGGCCTTGGAGGAGGGGAGTCGTTGAAGGGCGCAGAGGCCAAGTAGGACGAGAGGATCCCGAGAGCGCCTTCTGCGGGGCATGGGGACCTGGGACAAGAGGAGGAGCAGAGCTGTAAGGGCCACTGGTTTCTTGTGTGCGAAGGTAACGTATAACAGGCAAGCCATGCAGTGGGCATCTTTTCTGATCTAGGGCAAATGCTTGTATTACAGGAGGTGTAACAGATGGGCACGTTCATAACAATTACATTATTCACTTTAAACCAACCATTTATTTCACTGCTTAGCTGGTCACCCTTGGCAACAAGGAATTCCGCTTAGGTGAACAAACGGGATTAGAAGACACCAATTCAACCGGAGTAGGCTGATTGGCTTCTGTACTGGCCAGAGAAAGCAGCTTCATCCATAGTGGGAATGGAACTCGGGTGTGCTGGTGGACAAAGAGGAAGTGATGTTCCTTTATCCCCAAGCCCAACAGGATAAACAAAATTTTATTTTAAACTTCTGTTAGTGAGTGCACAGTACTATGCTGTTTTAAATGGATGGAGCAGACCAGTCCACAGGTTGGTATCCATATGATAAGGTTCAGTCTTTTTTTCAGATTTTTTTCTGCAGTCTTATTTTTCTTGGTTCTCATAAGATTTGCTGTTAATAGAAGCTTGTCTTGTAAGAGTTCCTCATTACACCTGGATGCACTGCAATTCGATCCCTGGTATGTCCTGGTGGAACTGCAAAAGCACCAGTCTGAAACCATTTTTGAAGATACTTTACTGAAATAAATCTTATGTCACATTTTTTTTCTTGACCTGTAAAAAATGGTATTGCCTTCATGCTTGTCCATCCCATCTGTATCTCACTGTACACCTCGTATTTAAGGCAGGAGTTGGCAACTTTTGTCCCCTCCAGATGTGACTGGACTGAAACTTCTGTCAACCCCAGCTAGGTCATCCAAAGGTGAAGGATGACTGGACCAACATTTTTAGAGCCACTATTGCTCATGTGTTAAAACTGAGACTCTCCTACTTTGGGCACATGATGAAAAGACAACTGTTGCTCATCTTTGCCCTGTTTCTTAACACCACAGCATATAATTCTGTCAATATCAACATGTTCTCAAATCAAAATAAAATCAAGGTAGGAAAAGCAAGGGGTTCAAGAGCTGCACACTGTGGTAGATGAATCTACAAAACATCAGTTTTCCAAAAGCAAACAACTGCATCAAGGCTACACCATATGTCTGGTCTAAATCTCTTTGCCAAATTACTAATGCAAATTCTGCTCTACTAACCTGCCCACAGATCAGTGACAGAGTGCTTCATCACACATAGAAGGACTGAGATTCAGTCCCTGGTATGTCCCAGTGGGAGTGGGAAAACACCTGTGTAAAATCTTGACAGGTCCTGCTAGTCAGGGTCCTCTATCCTGAGCCAGAAGGACTAGTGCTCTGACGTGGGTAAGACAGCTTTGTTTGTAAATATACAAGCATTAATTTTGTTGGGATGTTCTCATCTATCAAACGGATGACAGAAGAGAAAATAGGCACTGCTGAATCAATGCAAGAGGAAGGGTTAATTGCTCATGGTACATTTGTTTCAGATTACTACCTTCTCAGAGTCAAAGATTTCTCATGTCACATGTAGGATGGTTTTCCTTGCGGACCCCAGACTACAGAAGAGGAGAACTGAAACTGAAAACTAAGTAAAGCGTATGTGGAGGGGGTTAAATAGTGAGCAAAAAGCACAAGACTTTGTAGAATCTATATGTAAAGTCCTGATTTGGTTCCCACAATGTGAAACTTCAATTTGGTGCTATAAAAGTGGGTTCTAAGCTTCAGCCTCCTTCCCCCATTGCTCTTAGTTGAATTATTGTGGAAAGCCATATTTGTTATAGCTAAACTGACAAACCCCTATGCACTGCAAGTGAGAATTAAAGTACTGTAATTAAACAATCTTCCAGGGGAGTACATGAGCCTAAGAATTAAGAGTCATAATATCAAGACTTGCTTTGGAATTATATATGAATTGACCTCTTTACTTTCCAAAATATGTTTGAAACTTCAATTTGGTGCTATAAAAGTGGGTTCTAAGCTTCAGCCTCCTTCCCCCATTGCTCTTAGTTGAATTATTGTGGAAAGCCATATTTGTTATAGCTAAACTGACAAACCCCTATGCACTGCAAGTGAGAATTAAAGTACTGTAATTAAACAATCTTCCAGGGGAGTACATGAGCCTAAGAATTAAGAGTCATAATATCAAGACTTGCTTTGGAATTATATATGAATTGACCTCTCTACTTTCCAAAATATGTTACTTATTGCTTGCATGTTCAAAGGAGCAAGCCTATAGAAGTTTTAAATAATTATATTTATTCCACAATTATTGATTTAATATATTACTCATAAGCACTTTCAGACAAGTGTACTTTTATGCATCACAGTATAAAAAGTTGGTATTACGAAGAGAGTTGATGTGTTTAAAAACAGCCTTCTTATACATTTACAGTATTTGCATATTATACAGCTTTTACCATTAAAGAAACCCCATTAGCTATAAATGTAGTAATACACTTCACTTTACAATTTTAAAGTTCTTTGGAAAGAATACAGCAAACAGTGCGCAAACAGGAGAGATAAATGGCAAAACTGAGAGAAATGTATTTACATGCTTTTTACTTGAAATCAACAGACTATCTAATTATGAGATTCAACTATGTTAGCAGAATCTGATTGGCAGTTTTGAGATAATTATGTGAGGTAAAGTAAGAACAAGTATCAATTTATATCAAGTTTTTCTGATATACCAGTCTGTGCATGTCTGTTTAAAGTTAGTTCTGCTAGCACAGTTTAATCCCCATATGGAAGAAGGATGTCACAGTTTCAGAATCTGAAACAAATGAGTAAACGCTGAGAATTCTAGTATTATTGTATAAAGTTCCTCTTGTTTACTTCAACCTAGGCATGATGTGAAGCATTTCATTACAGCATCCCTGTAAAGAAAATAAAAACTGTCATCACAAAGTATGGATATGGTTTGTGAGAGCAAACTATAAGATTATCTGGGAGGTATAGTTTCACTGAGCCTAGGAAGTTGTAAGACTCCCAAGGAAGCCCTATCTCCCACGCAGCACTGGGAGAGCTTCTTTTTTTTAAACGGGAAGCTAGGCTCATAACTAGGCCCTTCTCCAGGTGAATGAAGTATAGGATTTGGTTTGGAACTCCCGTAATTCTGCCTGGGGAAATTCCTGAAGAATTCTGGGAGTTAAGAGTCTGAAAAGTCCAAATGACAGATCCTTGTTCATTATAGGAAAGTCAACTTTTGCCCCACAGAACAGAAACTGATCGCAAAGTCTAGTTATCAAGTATAATTATGTTACCTGAAATACTGTATCACTGGTTAGAGAAATGTATCTGATTTTTTTTATCAAATGACAGCCCAGATAAGTAATTGTACCAGTGATTTTAAAACCAGTTTAAGGTGACAAATTTTATTACATTCTTTGGGGAATTACTCCCATCAGATTTAATAGTTCTGTGGTGTCTGCCCAGGTCATGGATATTTATATGCTATTTGTGTAGACCAATAGGAGTGCTGGAGGGGTGGGGTCACGAGATATAAGAGACTGAGCAGCAGGAGGAGGTGTTTAAATAAGGTTTTGAGACAGCGAGATTGAGAGAGTTTAGGAGTTTGGACAGGAGAGTAGTGCTTGAGATAAAGGAGAAAGTTGGTTTAAGAGTTAACAACATTGCGTGGTCTGTCAACACCTGTATCAATAAACAATTTCTATTTGGTTCTTTTAAAATGACATATGGCCTGGACCTCGATTATTAATACAGTGGTGCCTCACAAGACAAATGCCTTGCAAGACGAATCGTTTTGGCAAGACGAATGTTCCAATGGCCGTGCTTCGCAAGACAAATGTTTTCTGTTTTTTGTTCCTACCTCATGTTTTCTGATGTTTAACTGTTTTTCTATGATGTTTAAAAAGTTTTTTGATCGAAATTTTTGAAATCATCTGCACAATATGTATGTCATTAAAGAGTGCAGTGGTGCCTCGCTTAGCAAGCACTCTGTTTAGCGACAAAATTGCTTTGCGCCTTTTTACGATTGCTTTTGCGATCGCTTTACGATGTTCCCTATGGGGTATTTTCACTTTGCAATGACCGATCATTGCAAAGCGACCATTTTCGCACAGTTGATTGGCGGTTTCAAAATGGCCGCTGGGAAAGAAACATGTCCGCCCGCTGTTTTCTGGGACGGATTCTTCGCTTAACAGGCAGCGAAAATGGCTGCGCTATGGAGGATCTTCGCTGAACGGTGAGTTTGAAGCCCCTAGGAATGCATTAATTGCGTTTTAATGTGTTTCTATGGGCTTTTTTATTTTGCATTGTGACGTTTTCGTTCAACAGTGATTTCGCTGGAATGAATTAACATCGCAATGCAAGGCACTACTGTATTTAATAAACCCTTTGTAAACAAAATTTGACTTCGTTCTGACTTTTTTGCCCATAGGAATGCATTAATTAGATTTCAATGCATTCTTATGGGAAAACCCGTTTCGCAAGACGAATTTTTCGCAAGCCAGCATTAACCACGGAACAAATTAAATTCGTCTTGTGAGGCAGCACTGCAATAGGCATTGTTGATGAAATCAACTGGTGGCAGCTGATGGGCACATAGTGTGAGCTCTTTGTTTGGTGAAACAAATGGGCCACATGGGATTGTGACAAGGGCTTACTTCCAAGTGAGCAAAAATCACAGAAACCCAGGACAACAGATTTCTTTACATGCACTTCCAAAAGCACCTTTTTGTACATATGAAATCCTATGTACAGTAAGGACTCGTGGTCATCATGTATGAACATGACAGACATACAGTGTCACTTTAATGTCTGAAGATGTGGACTTGATCCACAAAAACTCACATGAAAATTAAAGTTTGTCTTTAACATTTTTATCTCCCTTTTTGTTTTTGTGTGATATATTTTGTATTTGTCTGGCACAAGTTTAACTTTAATTTAAGAGGTAGCTGTTCCTTAGTAGCAATGGTAATTAATGTTTTTTAAGTTACACTAGGCAGTTTTAAAAAAATCATTCACTACAACCCCCCACCCTAAAAAATACCATTTTGAAACTGTACAAGAGCACTACAAGTTCCTGTTTTTGCAAAGAGGATAACAAAGCAACTCACCTTGCATAAGGGATATATGATAGACTGTACCTGAAAGAAAAGGAGGAAATTTTTACATTCTAGATTATTCATTCTGTTTTAGTCAGCCCTCAAGAAAGTTTGTCGAGTGTAATAAACTTGCAAGATTAACTGTTCTGATTATAAATCTCAGAATAAGAGGTTTATTTTTTAAAAAAAAAACTGGGTGTACTGCCAAGAATTCCTTAATTTCTCTTCATTTCAGATTTCATTGCAAGTATACACTTCAACCTCTCCAAAGAAATCTGGCCTAATGCAAGTGCCACAGTGAGGCCAAATGAAAAATAATGATTTTAAGAAAATATGGAATGTATTTCTGGAACATGTATTTCGGAGAGGGAGGGGGTTTACACTGAGGGAAGAAACAATGAAATTTTGGAGTGAAAATGGATGGAATGAAGTGTAATGCTAGTCCTGAAGGTGATGGGTGCACATGGGTAATTGTATTCTATTGTATTGTTTTGTTTTGTATTTTATGTAGTTTTTTGTGTGTGTAGTAGTATTAAAAAAATTTTAAAAATGCAAGTGCCACAAAACCAAAGCAGTCAACGCATACATTTTATTGATGTATATGCTTCACAGAGAGAAAAATACATAATTAATTAATCTGAAGGAAAAATCAATTACTCATGAACAACAGGAACACAGAAAGAGCCCTATTTAAACAGATCACTGCTCCCTACCCCAGCAAGGGGGATGTCTCAGAGAACCCACAAATGAGACAGAAATTGCTCCTTCCAATGTCTGCCCTCAGTGGCTTCAGAGATGGAATTTCCACATACCCACTGTAACTAGCAACATTGCCTGACCTGTCGCTGTCATGTGCTGTCCATGGGCAAAATCCAAAGAAACAGAACAAGACATGACAAAAATATGTGGAGTCTTAAAGACTATTATATTTTAATGTGAACTTTTGTGGACACAAGTGGAGTAATTTGCCCAAGTGCTTAAGGAAACTCTTCTATGCCCAACTGATGCAAATGCACCTGAATGTTGCGAACATTTCAAGAATGCCGTTTATAACACTGCCTTGTCCACACCGGGCATGGAGACCAAAAAGACGGCAGACTGGTTCAAAGCCCATTCGGAGGAGTTGATGCCAGCCATCGAGAAAAAGAGGAGAGCTCTAGCAGCATACAAAGCCTGTCCTAGTGAGTACAACTTGCAGATTCTTTGAGTTGCATGTAGCAAAGTCCAACAGGCTGCCAGGAGATGTTCCAACGATTATTGGCTTCAGCTCTGCTCTCAGATACAGATAGCAGCAGACATAGCTAACATGAAAGGAATGTATGATGATATCAAGCAGGCTTTAAGTCTGATACAGAAGAAATCTGCTCCTTTGAAGACTGCTACAGGTGTGATCACCCAGGACCGAGCACAGCAGATGGAATGCTGGGTGCAGCACTACACTATATTCTAGAGAGAATGTAGTAACCAAAGAGGCATTAAATAACACTGAATGCCTGCCTGCCTTGGAAGAGTTGGACAGCAACCAACTTTAGCAGAAATAAAAGCAGCCTTGGATTCCCTCGCCTCCAGCAAGGCACCTGGAAAGGATAACATCCTTGTTGAAGTGCTGTAAAGAGACCATCACCACTGAGCTGTATGAAATATTTTGTCTTTGCTGGTGGGAAGGGGGAGTACCACAGGACAGGAATGATGCAAAAATCACCACATTGTGTAAGAACAAAGGAGACAGGGGCGACTGCAATAACTGCCGTAGCATCTCTCTTCTCAGCATTGTAGAGAAGCTGCTTGCCCGTGTTGTGCTTGAAGACTCCAGGTGCTTGCAGACAGAGTCCAGAATCACAGTGTGGATTTCAAGCTAATAGATCCACCAGTGATATGTTATTTTCCCCCAGACAGTTGCAGGAGAAGTGTAGGGAACAACAACAGCCACTCTTTGTGGCCTTCATAGATCTCACAAAGGCCTTTGACTTGGTTAGCAGGGACAACCTTTTTAAAATACTTTCCAAGACTGGATGTCGACCTCGACTCCATAACATCATCGGGTCCTTTCATGAAGAAATGAAGGACACTGTAGTTTTTGATGGCTCAACATTGGATTCCTTTGACACCCAAAGCAGAGTAAAACACGGCTGTGTCCTCGCGATGACCATGTAAAGCACGCTTTTGGAACTGCAACAGGTGGTGTCTATCTATGGACTAAATCAGATGGAAAGCTCTTTAATCCCTCTAGATTGAGAGTGAAAACCAAAGTCCAGCTGAAATGCATGCAGGACTTCTTCTTTGCCAATGATGCACCTGTTGTTGCCCATTCTACTGAAGAGCACCAACAACTAATGAATCGTTTTAGTAAGCCTTGCCAAGATTTTGAACTATCAGCCTGAAGAAAACAGAAGTCATGGGCCAGGGCGTGGACTCACCTCCCTCCATTATCATCTCTACACAAGAATTGGAAGCTGTTCATGATTTTGTGTACCTTGGCTCAACGATCTCCGACACCCTCTCTCCAGATGTCGAGCTGGATAAACACATTGCCAAAGCAGCTACCATGTTCTCTAGACTCACAAAGACAGTATGGCTTAAGAAGAAGCTGATGGCATATACCAAGATCCAGGTCTATGGAGCCTGTGTCGTCCTATACTCCAGTGAGTCCTGGACCCTTTGTGCACGGCAGGAGAGGAAGCTGAACACGTTCCATCTGCACTGTCTCCAACACATTTTTGGTATCACCTGGCAGAACAAAGTTCCAAATAGAGTAGCCAGTCCTGAAACCAGCAAAATCAGGGAGCTGGACAGGGGACAGATTGTATTTCTTTTCAGTGTGGAAGAGATTGTCACTCTCGAATTGGCCTTCTCAGCCACACTATACATTGTTCTAAGACCTCTATTCAGAGCACGTTACCATAGTCTCTGGAGACTAAAGAATGCCTCCTGAGACTTCTGGAGGCACTGGGGAATGCATTTTTGGTATCACCTGGCAGGACAAAGTTCCAAGTAGAGTAGTCCTAGAACAAGTTGGAATTTTTAGCATGTATACATTACTGAAACGACGACGTCTACATTGGCTTGGGCATGTTGTGAGAATGTCTGATGGTTGGATTCTGAAAGATCTCCTGTATGGAGAATTAGTGCAGGGAGAGCACCCCAGAGGGAGACCATAGCTGTGATACAAGGATATCTGCAAGTGGGATCTGAAGGCCTTAGGAATGGACCTCAACAGATGGGAAACTGACATCTGAGTGTTCTGCCTGGAGGCAGGTGGTGCAACATGGCATCTCCCAATTTGAAGAGACTTGTTCAGCAGGCTGAGGCAAAGAGGCAGTCCCAAACCAGCAAGATCTGGGAGCTGGACAGGGGACAGATTGTATTTGTCTTCAGCGTGGAAGGGATTGTCACTCTTGAATGAGCCTTCTCAGCCACACTAGAAGCTGTTTGAAGACCTCTATTCAGAGCATGTTACCACTGTCTCTCAAGACTGAAGGATGCCTACATTGAATAAGATTTTCAAGGTATGTAAGATATTCAAGGAGTGGTTTGCCAATGGCACCCCAAGAAAACCTTCATGGCTAAGTGAAGATTTAAGCACAGTTTGGTATTGTAGACAGTCTTAGTCTGATATTCAATCCACTATACCACACTGGCTCTCTTTTGGCAGAACCAGTGCCTATGGATTTGTTCCAGTGTTTTTTACAGGATTCTAAACTACTGGTTGCTATGACTGCGTATCACTGCAGTAAATCTCATGAATTATGTATTATGTGAAGCAGTGCTTTATTATGTATCTACTGCCAGAGTTATAATATTAAAAGGTTTTACCCATTTTGTGTCTAGTTTTATAATCTACTACTATCTTAACCTGTAAGATAGAAAATCTTCTTTCTTTACTCAGAAAACCTTGAAAATATAATAGTCCTTGTCTGCCTGGAAAATGTGTATACATAGATATGACAAGGATTTTTTTCCTTAATCCTCTCCCTAGTTTGCTTTCTTAAAAAGCTGCTACAAACCACAATGTCAATAACTTTCTTGGTTAGTCATATTACCATCAGTGTTTGTCAAATGTAAGAGCTTATGTGCCCCAGTACACATCATTTACATTTACAACAAATCTTATAAACTGCAGTAATCACTTGGTTCTATCTTATGTAGTATACAGTACATTTATGCAATAATAAAGCATTTGATTTTTAAAGCAAAAACAAAAACTGCATCTTTCTGCAACTCCAGGCAGGGGTACGGAGGACGAGTCTCCCTGCACAGCTGCCAAGTGGCTAGATGAGCAGAGAGAGAGGGGTGCTCCAGGAGCTATTGGAAGGCTGACAGAGGCTGCTGCTGCTGGACATGTGAGTGGACAGTAAGTCCAGCTGTGCAGCAATATTCGTATATAAATACCTCCATCTCTATTGAAAACCACTGTAAACTATTGGAAACTATCTTGCTTTAAGCTGCACATGTGAGGATTTTGAAAGCTGTTTTTTGTACGTCAACTACTGGTTTTGAAAAAATACAGAGAATCCATATATTTCAAGCATGCACAGCTTGTAGTTGGTCCTCAAGGGGGGAAAACAGCCATCTGTTGACCATTCCCACTACTGCATATGAAACACACCCTAGAATGTGCTCAACAGTCCCTCATGGCTGCAGACTGAAGAGAAAGTAGTAGGTAAGGTAAAAGTAAAGGTTCCCCTTGACATTTAGTCCATTCCTATGCCAATAAAGGTTACCGAATTGATTGACATTTAGTCCAGTCATGTTTGACTCTAGGGAGCAGTGCTCATCTCCATCTCCAAGCTGTAGAGCTAGCATTTGTCCGTAGACAGTTTCCATGGTCACGTGGCCAGCGAGACTAGACACAGAATGCTGTTACCTTCCCACCATGGTGGTACCTATTTATCTACTTGCATTTTTACATGCTTTCGAACTGCTAAGTTGACAGGAGCTGGGACAAGCAATGGGAGCTCACTCCGTCCAGTGGATTCGATCTTATGACTGCTAGCCTTCTGACCTTGCAGCACAGAGGCTTCTGCGGGTTAACCTGCACCACCATCATGTCCCTTGAAAGTGGTAGGCATGAATATAGATGTATTACCATATTTTTCCATGTATAAGACACTACTTTTTCCTAAAATCATTACACTAAAAACTGAGGGGTGACTTTTACACGAAAGTAAGCTGTGATAGCTGGGAGAACAAAATGGCACATACCTTACCTCTGTAAACACCCTTCATTCATGAGGCTTAGCTTCTTCCTTCAATCACGAGCCTTATGGAACTGACATCAGCTAATGCTGAACAAACCAATTGGAACACACCTCCTTGGAGGTGGAGCCTGTAGGCTCAGATTTAACAGGGACTCAAAATGTCTGACCATTCTGAGCCCAGAGGCTGAATCCTCAAAGCTACGTTTTCTTAATTTTGGGGTTAGAGAAAAATGGGGGATCTTATAAATGGGGGGCGTTATAAATGGAAAAATACAGTATTTACTTCTAGTCAGACCTGAAAAAAAATTAAAAATACAAAGAGGAAATGGGTGATGAAATAAACTCTGATTTTCAATACTTGAAATACATTCTAAACTGGATGAGATATATCTGGAAGGACCACAGAACATCCAAGGTGACCACTTGGATATCTTGCAATATAATCAATCTCCTTGGTTTCACAGACAGTTCAACATGATGGTTAGAATTGACAAAGGTTTGTAAAAAGACTTACCATGTCATTGCCAGGAACTGCATAATGCAGAAGAGCAGAGCTAGCCCTTTCTTTTCCCACTAAAGGAGGAAAAGGAAGGAATATATATTGAACATAATGTTCCTTTTTATTAACATGTATAAAATCAATCTTGAAAATTCCAGTAGCACATTCATATTTACAGTATCTGAAGTGGAGACATGCTGCTGTTCATTTCCAGTAGAGGGCATCAGCAGCACATTGTTTACATTCTTGCATGTAGTTCATTTCACATAATCAGATAAGCTTAAGTAACACATATTTATTTAGAACTTATTTTCACGAAACCAGTCAGTCTTATCCACAACTGAATTTACACAGGATTGTAGTGTGAAAAAAAGGCATAGATTTTTCTCTAGAAACCTCTTGAAGACCATTTGTTATCAAGGATACTTTTAAAGAGAAAAGAAAGAAAAATAATAAATAATTTATAGTCTGCCACTGCATAACTAAAAAGCAGACTGGAGAGAAGACCACACACAGTTTAGTTTAACAAAGCAGATTTAATAGACACAGCTTTGAATATCAAGTTAGTTCAAGTTTAGGAAGCACAAAATATTAATATTACTTACCCAGAACACGGCACACAAGGTAAGTATAAAAGAGAACTGGGGGAAAATGTTGAAGTCAAATTAGTATTTACATTTTTAATAGAATATTCTTGTAGTGAAGAATCACTGTGCCAAATCTACTAGAAGGTAATAAATTGCCGTCAATCTCAAATTTTTAATTTTAATTTAACAGCTTTCTAGAAACTAGGAATTCCTGGCCTTCCATCCATACCTCCAAGTAGATCTGATGAAGAGGTCAATTCATCTCAAGGTCAAAGATACAGTTTAAGTACACTGGAACCTCAACTTCCGAACGTCTCCACTTGCAAACATTTTGAGTTACGAACGGCTCTGTTCGCAATATGTTGCTTCGACTTTCGAACAGAGCCTCGACTTGTGAACGGAAAAAAGGAAGGAGAAAAGGATGGGAAATTCCCCTGCCTTTTTTTCATTCCATTCAAACCGTTGGTGGCGAAAAGGCTGCTCTTTTGCCCCAGCAGTTAGGAAAAGTGACCCCAGGAGGTCTCCGACAGGGAAGCAATTTTAAATTTCCCGCCCTTTTCCGCCACCGTGATCGGACCCCCAGGAGGTCTCCCAGGGCTTCCCCTCCTCCATCAGAGACCTCCTGGGGGCCCCCCGCCACCACGATCAGCGCCTTCAGGCTTTCCTGGGGGGTAGGCGCTGATCATGGTGGCGGGGGAACCCCAGGAAGTCTCCGATGGTTGTGTGGAAGCCCTGGGAGACCTCCCAGGGTTCCCCCGCCGCCATGATCGGAGGCAGTGGTCAGCCAGTGCTGGGAGGCTTGAGCTGGCTGGTTTTTTTTCGGCCACTTCCCTCCCGGCTCGCCTCCCGCTCGCTCCTTGCCACGCTCTGCCGTTTGAATTTGCTGCCATTGGCCCATGGAGGGCGGCACGGAGCAAGCGTGAGGCGAGCCAGGAGGCAAACGACTGAAACCCGGCCAGCTTAAGTCTCCCGGCGCTGGGTGACTGTTGCCTCTGCCGTGGCTGGGGACGAGCGGCTGAAGCACCCCAGCCAAGCTCAAGCCTCACGGTGGCGGCGGTCATGGCCAGGAGGCTTCAGATGGGTAAGTGCTGCTTTCTGCTTTTTAAAAACTGCCTGTTCAGGGTGGGTTTTGGAGGATAGGTTTGGGCTGGGGGGTATGTTTCTGTGTTGTTTTGTTTTTTGGTGATTTTTTTTTTGCAGTCCCAGCGTGGGACTTGCAGTGTTTTATTTTTGATTTTTTTGGTATTTTTTTATTCCCCCAGAACACATTAATCGGTTTTCAAAGCATTCCTATGGGAAATGGTGCCTCAACCTACAAACGTTTTGAATTGCGAACACTGTTCCAATAACATTAAGTTCGTAAGTCGAGGTACCACTATATTAAGCCATCTCACTACACAAGTGATCAAGCCTGGATGATTTAGAATAAAAAGTCTGACAGTTATAATCACCATCTCTAATAACCTGTGTATCACATTCTGATTCCTGCTGCAAAGCAATCTGTTCTATAGAGTAGGGGAAATCTCTTTACTCTTATATTTTAAAGAACTTATCATTTAATTATTGATAATCTAGTATCAATTCCTTCACATTCATATTAATAATCTTGCCATCATACATTCCTGGATGTTCAGTGTTACATTTTGCGCCTTCAAACAGAGAAACAGATATTACTTACCAACATAACAATTGTAATAAGCAATCTTGTTGGCTCAAACATTTTTTTCAGCTGCTTCAAAGGACCCATCAAAAAGCAAGTGCTGATTTGGAAACAAATAAGTAACAATCATTATTAACTAAACCCACGTAATTTGTCTCTACTAAATTGTAGATTGTTTGAAGAGTTATCTGGGTGGGGGATGGACAAGCAGAGGAAATCAAGTTCAAAGCAATCAAAAGGCACTAAAGAGAGTCATGAAGGGCAAAGGAGGAGCTCTTTTTTTGGGCTGAGGTATGACAAAGTAATCTAAAAAAAGAGGATGGATGACATCTTGGTGAAAGCATAATCAGGGTGGAAACTCATGCTGGTGGCAGACTGTTCTGTAATCTTGAATTCTAGTTAGATACAGAATAATGTGAAGCAGTCTTTCTGTGCAACGGAATTTCAGCTTACTAGAATTACCATCAATTTAAATAAATGAAATATTATATGGCTATATGTTGTATAACATTGTAAAGGTAAAGGTTCCCCTTGATATATTCGCGAAGGCTTGCATGGCTGGGATCTAATGGTTGTTCTGGGTTTTTCGGGCTCTTCGGCCGTGTTCTGAAGGTTGTTCTTCCTGACATTTCGCCAGTCTCTGTGGCCGGCATCTTCAGAGGACAACAACCTGTGCCAACGTGGAATCAGCACTATATCATCTTCCAGAAGAAAAAGCAGAGGAAATAAGAGGGGAAGTGGCTAGGATCCTACGGAAAGCAAACCACCCCCAAAAGCAACATAACAAGAAAGGAGAGAAATGCCATCAAGTCCCTGAACTCCTGCCAGCAGACAAAGGCAACGCCACGGTAATCATGGAAACAGAAAAATACAAGGACAAAATCAGAGAACTTCTAGACCCCACCACCTACAGAAAACTGAAACGGGACCCAACCAACAAAATTACAAAACAAACAAACATGCTGACCAGGAGTTCCTCCCTGCACCCCAACGTCCATCAATGCATCTGCAAGACAGAAGCTCTCCCACCAAGACTACATGGACTCCCCAAAATCCACAAGGACTCAATCCCACTCAGACCCATTGTAAGTGCCATCAGCTCCCCAACATATGAATTAGCCAAACACCTAGCGACCCTCATTGGTCAAACCTCATCCTACATCAAAGACTCAGGACATTTCATAAGCAAGATCAGCACCCTAAAACTCAACTCTGGGGACAGACTGATCAGCTTTGATGTAGTATCCCTGTTCACTAAGGCACCAATAAAGGACACCCTGACACTCATCCAGCAGATATTTCCAGAAGACATCAAGGCCCTCTTCCAACACTGCCTAACGACCAGCTATTTCCAGTGGGATAATGAATTCTATGAACAGACAGATGGAGTGGCCATGG